AGAGGGCACTGTTGGGAGGCTTCCTGAGTGCAAGGCACCCTGCTGAGCCCTAAATGCAGGTGACCTAACTTCAGAAGCCAGTGGCTTGGGTCTGGCACTCTCAGGCCAGCCTCTCAGCAGAGGGATTGGGAAGAGGTGGAAGTTCACAACAAGAAGGGCTCTGAGCGGGGCTGGCTGATCCCTGCTGTCCCTGGGGGGCTGATGGTGGTGTTGATGGACCCCTCAGCCTCCCTCCCTCCCCTGGCCCAGCCTACCTGAAACGCCGCTATGGCCTCATCAGTACTGGCTCGGACAGTGAGTCTCCAGCCACGCGCTCCGAGTGCCCCAGCCCCTGCCTGCAGCCCCAGGACCTGAGCCTCCTGCAGGTCAAGAAGCCCCGCGTGGTGCTGGCGCCCGAGGAGAAGGAGGCGCTAAGGAAGGCTTACCAGCTGGAGCCCTACCCCTCCCAGCAGACCATCGAGCTGCTGTCCCTCCAGCTCAACCTGAAGACCAACACCGTCATCAACTGGTTCCACAACTACAGGTGAGGGCTCTGGGCAGACCCAGGTGGGGTGGGCTCTCCCCATGCAGGGCCACTGTGGGCCCAGATGTGCCTGGAGTAGAGCCCAGCTCTGTCCCTTCAACTGTGGGACCCTGGGCAATCACTTGCCTTCCCTAAGCCTCAGTCTTCTGACCTATACAACAGGGACAGCATCCACCTCTTAGCTTCCTCAGAGACTGACAAACCGACACGTGTACATAGCATACCTGGGGCATAGTCAGTGGTAGGTACTGATGGCGTTGCTGTCGCTGCCATTATTACTCCACCCAGCTTGCTTTGTGTCTGCCTCCAAGAAGGCACAGGGAACGGGACCTGGGGCACACACCCAAGACACTCTCACAACCCCTCCCACTCCTGAGGCTGAAAGAATTCCCCTGGTCCCTCCTTGGGTCTGCCTGCTTGGGGCTCTTGGGATGGAGTTTCCTCTTCTGTGGCCCCTGGGCTTGGGAGTCACTGACCTCTAGCAGACTGGACTTCTGGGAGCCAGTCCCAAGCTGGCTCCATGGAGACTGCAGGGGGTCTTCTTGAACCCAGGCAGAGCCCCTAGGAGTGGGCTTGTTGGCAGTATTACAGGGTCCCTAAGCAGGGAGCATCCTCAGTGCCCATGTGGTGCCAGAGAGCAGAGCCTACCCATTCATGTCACTGGTGGAGAGATCTCTTGCTCCCCTAGGAAGAAGGAGAAAGAGGAGCCTGGGGAGTGGGGGTCTCAGGTGTTCAGTCCCAGCCTGGACTTTGGCATTGCACAGGTCTGAGCCCAAGGCCTAACTTGGCTGTGTGGCCTTGGCAAGTCACTTTACCTCTCTGAGTCTCATCCTTACTTTACAGACGAGGAACCTAATACCTACCCCACAACTCTTGATCATGATCAAATGAAATAACTTTGGGTATGAACATGTTAAGTATTGCTCATTATCTGACTCATACCAGAACCTGCCAAACAGTGCATGACAAGGTCCTTATAGCCTTCTCTCCCTCCTTCCCTCCCTGAGTGATGCGGGGACATCTTCTCACCTCTGATTGCCATGAGACTGAGCATTCCATCGTTGCCCAGCATGACCATGCCCACGGTACTAATAAAGCTTGCACAGTGAGCCAGCATCTGGAGTCAGGTTGAAGCCATCCTGCTCTCGGGAGTTTATGGTCATGAACTAGGTCACTTTACTATGACCCAATAAATGCTGTAGGATGAGGAGGAATAAAGGTCTTAGGGAAAGGGGATTCTTCCTGGGGAATACTTTAGAGAAGAGGAGGCATTCAACCCGCGTTTTGAAGGAAGTATAGGGGTCTGTACCAAGGAACAGAGGGGATTCTGCTCCTAAAAGAAATGACTCTCCAAGGTTATCGCTGCAGAAGAAGACACTATTTCATTTGATAAATGTTTGTTGAGCACCTACTCTGTACCAGGCACCGCAGAGAACTAGAAAATCCTTGCCCCCAGCATCTTCCAGGCCAGCAGGTACTCACGATCACATATCATACACTGCAGTGAATTCTGGGAAAGATGTACCACAGGATGTGTTGAGAAAATTACCAGGGAGTTCCTGCTTTAGATTTGGGAGTCCCCCTGGGCAGTGGGTAGGTCCAAAATACTGCTCATGCAGCTGAGTCCAAGGTTCCTGGGTCCCTGGTCCAGCCCCAGGCTCACCACTCTCTCTGCCCCAGGTCCCGGATGCGCCGGGAGATGTTGGTGGAGGGAACCCAGGACGAGCCAGACCTCGACCCAAGTGGGGGTCCTGGTGTCCTGACACCAGGCCACTCCCAGCCGGACCCTGCCCAGCCGGACCCTGACTCAGAAGCTGAGGACCAGAAGCCCACTGTGAAGGAACTGGAGCTTCAGGAGGGCTCTGAGGAGCGCATCATGCCCCTGACTGCCCCGGACAGGTCCCAAGTGAGGATCAAGCAGGAGCAGAGCGAGGAGGACACTGAGGAGGAAGTGGGCGGCCAGCCCCAGGACCCAGGGGAGCCAGACAAAGGCCAAGGACCCCCCAAAGAGGAGCATCTTGACCCTCTGAGTAATGATGGACTCCCAAGAGTGGCCCCAGAGCCCCTTCTTTCAGGCGGAAACACCTCAGACTGCACCTCACTACATCCCCCCGAGGAGAGTGAGGCTGGGGGGCGGCTTCACTCGGACCCTCTGAGTTTTAAGTCAGCCTCGGAGTCCTCGCGCTGCAGCCTGGAGGTGTCACTGAACTCACCCTCAGCTGCCTCCTCACCAGGCCTCATGATGTCTGTGTCACCTGTCCCCTCCTCATCAGCCCCCATCTCCCCATCCCCACCTGGTGCCCCCCCTGCCAAAGTGCCGAGTGTCAGCCCCACTGCCGACACAGCTGGGGCCTTGCACCCCAATGCCAAGGTGAACCCCAATTTGCAGCGGCGGCATGAGAAGATGGCCAACTTGAACAGCATCATCTATCGGCTAGAGAGGGCTGCTAACCGGGAGGAGGCCCTGGAGTGGGAATTCTGAAGGCAGAGTGAGGGGCATACCCTGGGCCCCCTTCCTTTTCTCACTCGCTGTCCTAGATAGGGTTGGGTCGGGGGGAGGCATGCGACCACCCAAATGTGGACAGCAGAGTTATGCCATTTCCTTTTTTTGTTGTAATCCTGGTTCTCTGAAGTTGCAGGTGGGCAGGTGGAGCAAATGCCGTGGCCTCTTCCTTTTGGCATTTCCCACAGCAGGGAGCTTGGGTGACCTGCCCTTCTCCCCCACCCTGGCCCCTCTACAGGAGGCAGAAGCAAAACGGCACCACATTTTCACCTGAAAACTCCAAACTCTTTTAGAAAAATAAAGAAATATTTATAGACCTCTTTTAGATATTTTAATAAAGGATCCTTTGGAATTTATTCCCAGCCGATGCTGTTTTGATATTACAGAGAGTTATGAAATCAGGATGCTGTCACAACTGTTGCGAAGTATACATGGAAGTTGTGTCGTTTTTTTGCCACTAGATGAGATTAAAAGAAGACAATTGTTCAAAGCCATCAGTATACACTATAAGACTGACCAAATTTAAATAACCTTTGAACCACGGTTTTCCCCACGCCTGTCTGTGAGACACAGCACATTGCCATTGCCTGTCCAAAAGCCGTGCTGAAGGGAGAAAGTCCAAAAGACTCTAAACGAACACCTCGATGCCGTTGAGGATGTGTTCCATTCTGGTGGTCTGTTCTGCAACCTTGATAACACAGAGTGTCCCGTGCTGTTGTAAATGTCATAGAGATGTGGGCCGTGGCCCAGCGTCCTAGACTAAAGGTGGCATGGTACAAAGCAAACTGTTACACTCCCTGGTTAGGAACCCAATGCCCATCTGTAGAAAAGATGTGTTTCCAGATCCTTCAGAAAGCTGGGTGTCGGGGCAGGTGCTCTGAGATGGTGCTTCAGCCAGAGTGACCCCTATTCCAAGCCTGAATCATGGCCACACCCAGCAAGTTTCCCCACTGGGCATTGCAGAGAAGACTGGCTGCATCCTCCCTCCTCGTGCTCTCAGAGGGACAGTGCGGTTATCCCACGTGCAGTGAAGCTCAGCAGCCAGTGCCAAAGCAGATTCACCCACTAGAGACCCCTGCAGACCTGATCATCACCTTCTCAAGCTGACCCCGGTGCTGCATCTGGAAGGCTGAATTCAGAACAGCATGTCCACGTACCCCAGTCTCCAAGGCCACCCTTCTTTCCAGCGCATGACTGCTGGGAGCCAAGACTCAGCCCCAACTCAGGGGAGCTTTTCCTGCACATTTCGTCGTGTGTCTAGGGAGAGAGCTCCCCATCAGAATGGAGCAGCCTCCAGGGTGGTGGTTAAGCTCTCCATTTTACTTCTTTACATTTTCCAAACTGTGGGAAGGCTAAATTGGGTGACTCCCCGGAATGGTAACAAAAAGGTGACTGTAACTGGTGCCAAGTCAGTGCCAAGGGGAGAGATGACAGACACATGTGGTGAGTATTCTGAAACCACAGGCAAAACCCAGCGACCAGAAAGGGACAACTGAAGACCGTCTCAGAAATCCCAACTCTAGTGCACCCAGCCCAGGCTGCAGTCCCACACCAGTCAACGTTGACACACCCCCGGAGGAGGGCCTCGCCCTCCGCACACCCAGGCTATGCACTGAAGAGTTTTCCACTGTATACATTTTTATCCAGATGAAGGTATTTTTATATTTTGACAATAGGAAACAGAGACCAGTTTTCAGACTACTCCAATCTGGGACAAATGAAACATCGCGTAGCCACCACCGCCCTGTTGCACTAGACACTGGGGAAACACACCACTTTTTACTCTCGGAACCAACGCAACGTTGAAATCCAGGACTCCGATCCTTAGAGAACTCACGTTGGCTTTAGTGTGACGGGATTTGATTAAGCACTTAGTCTTCTGAACACAGAAATCCTGTCGTACTCAAAGCTGGCAGACCCGTGAACAGCTCCGTCTGGTTCACGTCCTACAACGGTAAAACAACACCACCCACAAAACCCCACAAAACTGTTTCTATGAGAGATTGATGAACTTTGTTTAAAATTTTAAAAAAAAGGAACACATTCTGTAAACAAGTCGCTAAATACAGAATTGTATAATAATTCTGGGTGTCCTGCTTCTTTGTTCTGGAGCTGGGGGAGCAAACTGGGGGTCTGAACAGGTCCTCAGAGGTATTTTGCAAAACTCTATTTTTAAAAACTAGTTTTTGAGTTGGGTGCCAACATTAAAATCCAGGGGCATGTTACTTAGGAGTCATGAATAGCAGCTCGTCCATCATCTTCCCATGTAGACAAGATGTGTTTCCAGATCCTTCAGAAAGCCGGGTGTCAGGCCAGCTCTCAGAGGGTGTTGCTTCAGCAGGGGTGACCCCATTTCCCAGCCTGAACCGTGGCCACACCCAGGAAGTTACTCCACAGGTGTAGAGCATCCTGAGGAGACAGGCAAGTACAGCTTCTCTTGAAAACCCTGGTATCGGCCACACTAGGCCACATTCTAAGGTGACAACAGCCAGCTGAGGAGCGGCCCTCCCTAGACAGCACAAGGCCCTTGACTTATCTCCACCTGGGCCGTGTGGCATCTGGGTTGACGACTGTGCTTTGGGCTCCAACTGCCCTGAAGAAAGAGGGAAGGATTTTTCCCACTTGTTTTGTGGGGTTTTTTTGTTTGTTTGTTTGTTTGTTTGTTTTGTTTTTTTGTGGTGCTGGGGATTGAACCTAGGGCCTGATGCATGCGAGGGAAACACTCTACCAACTGAGCTATGTCCCCAGCCCCGATTTTTCCCACTTGTGCAGCAGAATGGAAACTGGTTGCTTAAACTCTGGGGCCTGGTACAGAAGTCAAGGTCGTACCCTGTCCCCGCATCTGGGCTTCAGACCAGCCAGCTGGTAAGCAGTTTCCACTTCAGGGGAGTGTGGGGCAGTCAGTGCCCCAGCCTCCCAATAAGATGCCAAGAGGGACTAACTGGGGGTAAGCAACCTCAGACTCTTCCCCGGTGTGTGACCAGGGCCTCAGGTTTCCTCACCTGTAAAATGGGCAACTCACAGCAACTGACTCAGGGTCATTCTGAGGAATGAGCCTCAGCACGTAAGACATGTGGAGTGGGAGTCCAGTAGCTGACACTGTCAGTGGGCAGGTTCCTTCTGTCCACAGACAGGCTGCAGAATGGGTTTTGTGTGTGACCAGTAATATTGAGAGAGCCCTGAAGTGGCACTAAACATGACTCACCCATGAGCCAAAGCCACATGGCATCTCCAGGCAAGCTGCCCCCCACCCCCGCCTCCTGAAAACCTTCCACTCACCCCACTTCTTCCTCCTGTCCCCACAGTGGGAATTAAGTGACCAAGTTTCCCCACCCCAGCTAGTAGAACTGTCACTCCAACCCTCGAGATGCCCTGACAACCCATCATGGGGCGTGGAGCTGGGAGAAGCAGGGGCTGAGGGCCGAGACCCATCAGAGCTCCCATGAAGGGGTGACGTTTGGGGTGGGCCCAGGCCCTCTTCAGAGCTGCACCTCTCAAAACTGTGCATGCCCCAATCCCTTACTTCCCCAGCTGCAAAGGGGGTGATAGCAACGACACTGTCCCCACAAAGCAGTTGCAAAGGTTCAAAATGATTGTAAAATCTGAACTCCCAAGGAGCGTTTCCTTGAGTCCTGAGTTCTCAGCTCTTGAGAAACTGGAAAGTCAGGAAGAAGGCAGGGCATGGTGTCCTGAATCCCAGAGACTCAGGGGAGGCTGAAGCAGGAGGATCACAAGTTCCAGACTGCCTGGGCAACTTAGCCAGCCCTATTTCAAAATAAAAATGGCTGAGAGCATGATTCAGGGGCAGAGGGGAGTACACAGCTGAGCTAAGGGCAGTGTGGCAACTGTTCACTCACCTGCTGAGTATTTATTGAGTGCCTGCTGTGTGCTCAGGGCTTTGATGGGGAAGTTCAGGAACTGAGAATAGTAGTGAGGCCCAGAAGGAGGGAACACCGGCAGGAGATGGGACAGAGGCAAGAAGGGGCGAATTCCTAAGGAGTCTGGAATACAGGGCAGAGGCATGGGAGGAAGAAACAAGGCATCCTTATGAAGAAGCACCGTGGGGCCTGGTGGGAAATACACCTTTCTCCCAAGGGCACTGGGGAGCCATGGAGGGAGTGAGGCCTGGCGTTCAGGTGGGCAGACTTGTACTCTTAGGAAATTAGGAGGTTCCATCTGCTGGGAGATGGCAGGCCAGAGGACAGTGGCAGGGTCCTTCCACACAGGCCTCCACGCTGCTTGCTTCCCCACCCCTGTCTGCCTTGTCTCCTGGTTGAGCCCCACACACATACACATTTGGCAGCAGCTGCACATCCCAGGTGAGTGAACAAAGCCAGACCTGGCCTCAGGGCCCTGGCCGCTGGGCTAGGGGGTCACTTGAAAGCCTGGCTCCACAGTCAAGGTGCAGTTTTCCATTGCTATGGAAACAGGGCTGCCTGCCCCATGCTAAATCCACTCTCCAATGTAAGAGCACCGGGGCAGGGGCTCAGGCAGGGGACTGCCCAGAAAGGCAGTTGGGTGACCTTGGCCAAGGTGACTCCTTACTCCAGGTCCCCCTTGACTTTAATGGCCTGTGGCCTCAGGCCAGTGCCCTGAGGAGTAGCAATGAAAGCACTGGCTTTGAGCTGAGTCTGCCCTGGGCTTACCTCCACCATGGGGCACCCCAGGGCCCTTCAGTGAGCCTGGGTTTCCTCATCCGTCAATGGCATGGTCATAGCAGCATCTTCTTGTGTTACAGCTGTCCTTACTGTACAATAAACAATGCCACAACCTCATGGCTTAAAGCAAGAAACGTTTGTGTTCCACAGCTTCTGTGGGCCAGGAATCTGGGGCTGGCCTGACTGGCTGGTTCTGGCTGGCGGACTCTCAGGTTTCACTTAAGCCATCAGCCAGGGCTGCAGTTATACAGGCAGCACTGGGGCTGGCCACCTGCTTCTAAGATGGTGCACTCCCACGGCTACCAGGCAGGTGGGCCTTGGTCCCTTTCCAGCTGGGCCTCTCCACGCGGCAGGTGACTTTTCAGAACACCAAGGTAGAAGCTACAGGGTACTCTGTGACCTAAATTTGGAAGTCCTATTATCCTGTCCCCAGCATCCTGTTAGCCCCACAGGCTGCCTAAAATTTGGTGTGGGAGGGGACAGTTCTAGACAGGACACCAAGAGGCAAGCATCACTGGGGCCATCCTGGAGGCTGTGGAAGATACTGGTCCCGGAGATCAGGAATGGGTCTTCGCTCCCCTGCTGTTGAAGATTAAACACCGAGAAACAATGAGGCAAGAGTAGGAAGCAAGTTTTACTTAGGAGGGATAGCACACCTGTGATCCCAGCAGCTCAAGAGGCCAAGGCAGGAGGATTGCGAGTTCAAAGCCAGCCTCAGCAACTTAATGAGGCGCTAAGTAACTCAGTGAGGCCCTGGCTCTAAATAAAATACAAAAAAGAGCTGGGGATGTGGCTCAGTGGTTGAGCATCCCCAGTACCAAACAAAAGGGGGACAGAAGTAGAGGAGACTTCTCCAGAGAGAAGGGGGCCCGGAGCTGGGTGCCTGTAGGAGGGGTGTGTCTTGCTTTTTTACAGACCCCAGAATCCCCCACCATCTCTTTCTTCTCCATGTGTGTACCCGAGGGCAGGAAGGAGCAGCACAGGGTAATGGCAGTGTTGGGAAGTGTGATCCTGGAGATTAGCTGTTAGCAACCAGAGATACCCAGCCCTCAGTGCCCCAGCTGGCTCAAATGCAGTCTAAAGGTGGAGCCACTGATCGGGCATCAGTCAGAGGAGGCAAGGCCAGGGCACTGGGTTGCTTTGGATCTCTAGGTGTGCTGCCCGTGAAGGACACTGGCAAAACGAGAGAATGAGGAGTCGAGAGTAAATATTCCTTGAGTGTCTTGTCGCAGGCAGGAGCCACTGGGTTGAAAGAAACCGCACATAGTTGACGGGGGACCCCAGGCAGGAGCCTGCATGGAGTCCACTTTGATCTGTCCAGTTCTCTAACAGGTCTGGTTGTCTTCTCTCTCTGACATCAGGACTTCCTGGTCCATCAGGTCTTCAGTCAAGTGCCCTCAGGTACCTTATTTTCTGTTCCCCAACTCAAAACTCTCAGGACCCTGATTGGCTCAGCCTGTGTCTTGGGACCAAGGAGCTGTAACCAGGAGGGAAGGAAGAAGTGGGGGGGCATGACTGGCCTCTCTATGACCCCTACCCTGAGGAGCTGTGGTCTGGAGGCTTGTTGCCCTGCCCCAGGACTACTCTACCCCTCAGCTAGCAGACAGCTGTCCCTGGACCATGAAGAGAGGGCAACCACATTGGCCCAACAACCAGTTACTTTGAGAACTGGCCTGACGAGACTGGCATCCATACCCCACGTGCAGGTAAACCCAACAGGGGCAGCCCAACTGCCTGGCAGGATCGGGCAACCCCTTTGGAAGCTCGGAAAAAAGAAACACTTCCTGGGCCATAGTTTTATGTATTTACTGTGGCACTGGAGATTGAACCCACTGAGCTGCATCCTTGCCCTCTTTATTTTGAGGCAGTGTCTTGCTAAGTTGCCCCAGCAGGCCTGCAGCTTACCACTCTCCTGCCTCAGCCTCCTGAGTCACTGGAATCTAGTCTGAGTCACTGCACCTGGCTCCCCACTTACTTCTTCAGAATGAACGCTATTCATCTAAACCACATGGTCTACCCATTCATCTGTGGGTGGACACTGGGGACACTGGGGACGCTTCCGCTTTGTGGCCATGGTGAATAGGCTGCTATGAACACTCTCTAAGCCCCTGCTCTCAATTCTTATGGCATCCACCCAGAAGTGGAATTGCTGGTGACTATTTTTAACAGTTTGAGGAACCACCAGGCTTTTCCACAGAAGCTGCTCCATTTCACATCCCCACAGACACTGCGCGAGGGTTCCCACTTCTCCACGCCCTGCCCACACCCGCCGTCTTTCTTCCTAGCAGTCATCCTGAGGGGTGCAAGGTGGGCTCCTGTGGTCCTGGTCTGCACATTCCTGTTGATTAGTGACGTGGGGCATCTTTTCAGGTGCTCACTGGCCATTTGTGCACCTTCTTTGGAGAAATGTCTAATCATGCCCTTTGCCCATTGTTTTATCAGGTAGTTTTGTTGTGACTGTCAATGCTGTTGGGTTCTGGGGTTTCTACATATTCTGCACGTCACTCCTTAACCAGATTGCAAAATGATTTGCACATAGTTTCTTATGGCCCATCTTTTAAAAAGTCTTCATCAGAAAATGCAAAAAAAAAAAACTTCGGCTGGACTTAGTGTGTTATTTTACCACCATGGAGGAATTTCATTCCATTTGGGATGCTGAGATGGACCTGTTGGGACAGGCAGCAGGCACACACTCACCAAGTATGTGTTAGGTAAGGGGAGGTGGTAGGGTAGGACTGAGGGAGTGGGCAGTTGGCATCTGATCTAGCCACAGAGCAGGGACAAAGCCCTGTTCAGAATCTTATGAGGTGCAGAGCCACATGGGGAGGAGACCTCTCTTTTGGGTCTGCTCTTTTGGGAGAGCAAAGATGGAAGGCTTCCAGGGAAAGGATGAGAAGCAGCGGCCCCCCTCACTGTTGAGACAGCCCCTCTTGAGCACTGACCTTGCCAAGCCAAGAGCACTCTACAGCTGGTTACCCAGAACTGCCCGCCTCAGAAGTCTCTGGCTTATCTATTAGGAAGCTCAGGCAACAAACAAAAAAAATCCCACTCATGGCTCTACACAAGAACATTTATTACCTCAAATAACAAGATGTCTAGAGGAAGGGCAGGTTCCTGGGTCCACTGATGCAGCTGTTCAAGACCATTTTCAAACTCACATGGGCATTTTCTTTAGAGTGGCCTACTTTGTGAAGGCAAGGTGACTGCCACAGCCCCAGACGTCACCAACATCAACTCCCCACCAGAGGGCAACTCTCTATGTTCTCTTTTAAGAAGACCCTTCCGCTCACGTGGCCTTTGGCAGCTAAGGTTTAGCCAATCCCTGCAGGTCCAACAGCAGCAGAGTAACCAGCCATTCAGGGTGGATGGATGTTGGGCAGCCTGCCCTGACCTCTTGCCTGCATGCTCCCTTTGAGGGTCTCACCCTCACCCCAGTGGCTTCTCAGAATATTCCTTCCGCCATGTACAGTGTCCCCCTTAGACTTGTGCCCTGAACATCTCCCCCGTCCAGGGGAAGCCTGGTCCCTTAGTAAGTGATGCACTTTTTAGCACTGACGGGCTCTGCTCCCCTGCCACCCTCAGGCAGCTTGGTGGCAAGGTTCTGGCAGGTGAGGGCACTTCTGCAACCTCCCTTGCTGTTGGCTCTCTCCTGCTATTTCCCCCATTCTGTGCCCATCCCCTGCGGTGGGCACTGTGGTCACAAATGCCACAGGCAGTGCCCTGACTCAGTCTGTGTGGGGAGCCACTTCCCCAGCCCCACTTGGCTGAGGTCCCTCCAGCAATGGGACTAATGACTCAGCATGCGCTGGAATGTTCGGTGGCACGATCTCCTGACCTTAGTATTTTTAATTTCTTGAACACAAGGACTGTAAGTTGCTCATCCTAAGCCACATTTTCCTGAGTGCACATTTTTCCAGGCTGCCGAGGTAGACCTGTGACCCGAGTGCTGAGTTCAAGCAGGGCAGACCTAGGGCCCCCTGCATCATGCTGGTTCTCGTCTGTGAAACCCCATTAGCCCCCAAAGACAAGCAGCCCGAGAGGCAGCACCACCGCGGGGCACACACAGCAGACATTACTAATCCATCACAGGCCCTTCCCTCTGAGCTTGGATGGGTGCAAAACTGCTCTTTACTCCAGGGCCCCTGGCAGCCACCAAGAAGTGACGGAATGACAAGACCCAGGCCATCCCTGACAGTGTCCCTCCCAACCCTCAGGCCCTGGGCCCACAGTTGACTTTCAAATCCTCTTCCTTCCCCCTCCCTTCTCTCCCTTCTGCAAAGGAACTTTGTGTTCCATTTTCCCTCCTAGTCCTCCTGAAGTCACTGCCTACCACAGAATCCCAGCTGTATGGCCTTGGGGAATACCGTAACCTCTCTGAGCCTCAGTTTCCTCATCTATCAAATGGGCCAGCATTTGATAGCTTCCCTGAGAGGTTGTGAGAATATGTCTGGCATCAGCCACAAGGAGCCACACATTGGTCACCTCCCTTGTAGGGCCTGCTCTGGGCTCTGCCAGGCAAATCTGTTGGGGGAAGAAGGACACAACCAGCCAATCTTCGACAGACTTCTTTATTTGAGCCCTTATATCTCCCTCCCAGGCTCACATTTCTCCCCAAATTCAACCCTGGAGGCAGCTGGACTGCATGGTGTGCTTTGGGAGGAGGGGAGCATCCCTTGCCCCCAGGAGACTGGGGTCACTGTACCTTTAGAATTTGTAAACTTGCACCCACCAGCTGGGCCTGGCCAGGTCTTCCTGAGCCCCAGAGCCTGTGGACAGGAGCCACCATCACCCATACTGCTCAGTACTCGGAGAGGAATGAGGGATCGTACCAAGACTCCAGAGGCACGTGGCCAGGGGACAGCAGGGCTTGCCAGAGAGAAGGCAAAGGACAGATGAGATCCCCTGTCCAAGCACCTTGGCATCTCAGAGCCAACTGTGCCTCTGCAGCTGAGGCCACCCCTCCCTGGGGGCTGTGCCACCCAAGCTGAAGTGGCTTTCTTCCTGCCACCCAACAGGAACAAAAGCAGTGCAAACACCAAGTTCCACTGCCAGAAAAACAAACAAAAAAGAACATCCTAAATATTTAAAAATAAAATTCACAGCCCCAGACAAGCCCCAGCCCACTGAGCCAGCAGGGAGCTGGGGAGGCCTTGATTGCAGACCCCTCCCAATATTTCCCCAGCCCCAGGCTCTCCAAAGACAGAAGAGGAAGGAGTAGGGGCTGAGTCTGTAGGTCACCAAGGAGCAGCCTTCGGGGAATAAAGGTGGAGGTGAGGTGTCCTCAGGGCTCCCTGGTGCAGGGAGCTGAGGACTGTAAACATGACCCAGGTGGAGCCAGGGGTGTCCCGGCCCCAGGGTTCTTCCTGGATGAAGAATGGGCACTGTGGTGAGTGAGAAGGAAAGCCAGTCAGCAGCTGGCCTCTAAGCACAGGAGTCCTGGGAAATCGGGGATACAGGGGCTGGAGGCCAAGCACAGCTCTGCAGCTGCTGTTGCCCACGGGGTCAGTACCTGGCCCTTGCCGTGTGAGTCAGCAGTGAAGTGCCCCTCCCCCCCAGGAACCTACTGGAAAGAGCTGCCCAGCCCAGGGCTAGAGGTCAGGCAGCCAGCAGAGAGGTCCCACCCAGGCCTGGGGAAAGAGCTGGCTGGGGAGGTGACTGAGGAACGCAGTCAAGGACAGCCTGAGGGGGCCCGAGGCTGCTGCCCGCAAGGAGCATGGCCTCCAGGAGCCTGGGACCAGATGAGCTCACCCTAAGGTCTCGCACTAAAACCCGCACCTGCCGCTTCTGGAGGCGGCGGATGGCCCGGGCAGGGCAGCTTCTCTAGCAGGTGC